ACTCGTCCCCAGCCGACGTCCTGCTTGCTCTCCACCGGCGCAGAAACAGCTGAAACACGTCACACACCTGTAGCCYACGAGTCACAGGAAACCACAAACCAGACCCTCCTCCTCCTCACCTGGACTCGGGTCGCTGCTCTCCGGCTCCGCGTCCTCGGGGATTCCCGTCTGGTCCGAGACAGGAAGCGTCCCAGTGGCTTCCTGTCTGAGGCTGAGCGCTTCCTGCGGATCTGACTCATGATGATGTCAAACGGAGACCGCCTGTGTCCCCCGTCTCTCCCSCGCTGACCATCTGAATAATTTATTTATTTTAAGTTCAGATTCATCTGTTCTTGTTTCAGACTAGCCATTAGCTCGTCAGTCAGGTCAGAATTAGTCTTTTCAAACAGTTATCTGCAACAGGTAAGATATTTACTGTTCATAAGGAGAAAATTGCTGAATTAAACTGAGCTGAAAAACCTGAAACYGAGTTTAAAACTGAAATTTAAAAAAAGTTTCTGCAGATGAAAACACAGTGGAGGTGGTGTCATGGTTCAGTGCTCAGATCCAGAACCTGGACCTCAGCTGATCCGGACCAGAACAAAAACCAGAGAAAGGTTCTCCTGAAAACCTTCGAGACAGAACTCAGGGTTTATTTAACCCTTAAACCAAAATAAACTCTCTTACCTGCGGGCTCCATGACGCACCTGACGTTATTAAATTAACAGGTTGTATTTCCTGCGTGCGGATCAGTTGTTTACAAACACAACAAGGTAAACAAACAAAAACAAAATTAGATTTTTATACAGATTAACATAAAAAAGACTTTTTGATTCAGTTTAGATGCTTTAAAATTAAAATCTCGGTTTGGCTCGTCGCGCGGCTTCACCTGCGTTACGTGACTCAACCCGTGGCCGTCAGGTGGCTCAACCCGGAAGTAACAACATCTTGAGCAAATGTTTGATGAGCAGTTTACTGAGAACACTTTTATTCTTACATCATTTTAGTTTTTAACTTTAACCTTCTTTATGACTTTAATACATTTTAGGATTTTATTATTTTTTTAAATAAAACTTTTTGTGAACAGATTTAGCAGAAAAACAGATTCACTGGAGGATGAAAGTGAGTTAAACGATTTATAAAGCTTTTAGAATTTCTGAAAAATGTTTAAGACTAATTTTAGAAGAAAAAGTAAAATATTTATTAATTAAAGTCTATATTTAAACTATAATCAGAACTGCTTTCAAAACATTTTCAGTTTAACTTTAATTCATTTTTAAATCCACGTGGAGCCATCAGCTCTGTTTATTCAGAACATAAATCCGGACCAGAACCTCTTCAGCTTCTGAATATTAGTTTTTATTTATTTGCTGAAGCTGGAATCATGAATTCATCCTGAGGTTTTAAAAACTTCAACATGTTTCAGATCTTTATTCTTTTATTTGTCAGAAAAACATCCAAGAATCTGAAAAGAAATAAAACCAGGAGTTCTTGTTTAAATGTATTTTTATTCCACCTGGACCGGTTCTACTGGGACCGGACCCCTGGTGTGAGGAGGATTGTTGGGACCCTCGTCTTCGTCCTCTGCAGAAGACGGAGGAGACGTCTCTGAATCTGTGAAATGTCCTTGTTSTGTCCTTGTCCTTCTTTTGGGTCGGAAACATTAAAAAAAAGATCCTAGAGGAGCGGGATGGTGGAGCGGTTCTGGTCCGGTTCTCAGTCGTCGTCCACTGTGGGAGTGATGGTCACGCCTCTGCGGATCTGTCCCCAGCCGATGAGCCTGAGAGGAGCAAACCATCAGTAAACAGTCCTGAACAGATCTGGTTCTGACCCGTCTTACTGATCTGGTTCTGACCCGTCTCACTGATCTGGTTCTGACCCGTCTCACCTCCAGTGTTTCTCCACGCGGCGGCTCAGAGCGATCTTCTCTCCCACCTCGGTGCACACCGGGTTGGTCAGAACGATCTTGGCCAGGTCAGCCTTGACGGCGCTGACCCGGCCCCCCGTGGACAGCGAGCCGATGTTGACCATCAGAACCTCGTTCTTGGACAGCTTCTGGACCTGCGGAGCGAGGAGGTTCTGTTCAGAACCGGAGCCGGCCTACAGAACTACAGCTCCCATGATGCTCTGCTCACCTTGGCGGCCTTCTTGTCTCCTTCGGTGCGGACCCCCAGCAGCCTCCGGAGCAGGAAGTAGGAGATCTCCAGCTCTGTGAAGATCTCCGGCAGCGCTCCCACCGCTCCCAGAACCTGACCCACCATCCGATCCGCTCGGCACAGAGTCGGGTCGATCTTTGTGCCCACACCTGACAGAAAACACACAAACACACAGGTTAATTCAGCTTTCTGCTGCTCTTAGCATCCAGCTAGCCTTCAGCTGCTCCTGACCGATCAGGCCTCCAGGCGCAGCGTACTGCAGGTCGTTGTGCTCGGCGAACAGAGACACGATCTTGGAGAAGATGGGTTTACACATCAGCTTTCCTTCGTGGTCTTTGGACACGATGCCGGGCCGGACCTCCAGCTCCTGGCCCACCTGCAGGTTCCACAGAGGGGGAGGGGTTAGAGACCACCTAAACCAAACCAGGACTGGTTTCTGCCACAATCCTCACCTTCAACACGCCCTTCAGGATGCTGCCTCCGGCCACGCCCCCTTTCAGGTCGTCCACCTCGCAGCCCGGTTTGTTCACGTCAAAAGACCTGATGACTGAAGTCACAAAAGGTTTATATTTCACAATAAAACACCCAGGAAATGAGTTTTAATTTATTTCACAATAAAACATGAACATGTTAACAACAACAGAGTCTCACCGATGAGTCTGGGCTCAGACGTGAAGTCTCTGATGGGAATGGGGATCTTGTTCACAATGTATTCACAAACCACCTCAATGTTGTATTTCAGCTGCGCAGAGATGGGAATGATGGGAGCGCCTTCAGCCACGGTGCCTGCAGGATGTAAACAAACAAACAAACAAACAAACAAACAAACAAACAAACAGAGTAGAAAATCAGACAGATTCAAACAAACTGAACTGAAGCGACAGAAGCGTCTTATGGTCAAACATCTGTTTTATATCAGACAGAGAGATAAAGTAAATAAACTTTATCTACAACATTACACCCCTACACTATATCACCATATATACACAAATATTAGCTAAGGAGCTAATGCTATATCACCATGTATAAACATATTAGCTCAGGAGCCAATGCTATAGCACCATATTTTTACGTATTAGCTCAGGAGCTAATGCTATATCACCATATATAAACACATTAGCTCAGGTGCTAATGCTATATCATCATATATAAACATATTAGCTCAGGAGCTAATGCTATATCACATGTATAAACATATTAGCTCAGGAGCTAATGCTACATCATCATATATAAACATATTAGCTCAGGAGCTAATGCTATATCACCATGTATAAACATATTCGCTCAGGAGCTAATGCTATATCATCATATATAAACATATTAGCTCAGGAGCTAATGCTATATCATCATATATAAATATATTGGCTCGGGAGCTAATGCTATAGCACCATATTTTTACATATTAGCTCAGGTGCTAATGTTACATCACCATGTATAAACATATTAGCTCAGGAGCTAATGCTATATCACCATGTATACACATATTAGCTCAGGAGCTAATGCTATATCACCATGTATAAACACATTAACTCTGGAGCTAATGCTATATCACCACATATAAACACATTAGCTCCGGTGCTAATGCGAAAGCTGAAAGGCTAAAGCTGAGGTTCTTCCATGAAGCAGCTCTGTTGTCTTCCATCATCATTTTCAGTTTCTGTGGGTCTGTCTGGTCTGGACTCACCCTGCACGAAGGCCAGGATCTGCTCGTACTGCTCCTTGGCCTGGCTCTCCTTCACCAGGTCGATCTTGTTCTGGAGGATCAGGATGTGTTTCAGCTTCATGATCTCGATGGCGGCCAGATGTTCTGACGTCTGAGGCTGAGGACACGACTCGTTCCCCGCTGGACGGACAGAACAGGATCAGACAAACCGGAACCCTCTCTCAGTGAGACAGAACCAGAACCGGAGCGGATCAGAGACTCACCGATGAGCAGCAGGGCGGCGTCCATCACTGCAGCTCCGTTCAACATGGTGGCCATCAAAATGTCGTGGCCGGGACAGTCCACAAAGGACACGTGTCTGTCAGGAAGACAAGAAGATCCAGAAGTCACGACTTGCAGCAAACTGTCAATGACTACCTGCAGCAGGACTGGAGCCTCTCTGTCTCACCGGACCAGTTTGAAGTTTCCTTTGGTTCCAGGGAGGTCTGTGGGGAACTCATCAGGAGTGCTGCTGCCACAGGACCGGAAACACTCGGGTCTGGGACAGCTGGGGTCGTCCAGCTTGTAGATCTGCAGCGAGCCAAAACAAACATGGAGGTCAGGTGAGAAAACAAATATTTCACAACTTTTCATTTTCTCTGTGACGCTCTCAGGTTTAAAAATAACTCCTGTGAAGAAGAGAAGAGGAGGTTCTGCAGAAACGTGTTGGCCCACCTTAGCGTTTGCATATCCTAACTTGATGGTGATGTTCCTCTCCAGCTCGTTCTTGAACCTGACGGTGTGAACACCAGAAATAGCTTTCACTACTGTGGACTTCCCGTGGGCCACGTGACCGATGGTGCCTGGGACAGGAAGGACAGGTTAGAAAATAAAATGCAAACAAAAACCAACAAATGTCTGATGTCTGTACCGATGTTGATGGTGGCCTGTCTGCTGATGATCTCTGGAGAGAGAGGCGTCAGGATGGACACGTCCTGCACACACAAACACACATTAGAACAAAAACAGATTCACAGATTTTATTCATAAACAAAACTCTGGAAGTTCATTAATGATAAAACACTGAGATTTACATCCTGTCAGGTCTAACCCATCACTTCCTGTTTACTGTTTACATCCTGTCAGGACTAACTCATCACTTCCTGTTTACTGTTTACATCCTGTCAGGACTAACTAATCACTTCCTGTTTACTGTTTACATC